ACCTGGAAGAGCAGGGCCCTGCTTATGCAACTTGTCCTGGTGACCATGACATCTGGATGTCGAACAAGGAGCTGTGCAGGGTGCCCTTTGCTGCACGTGCCGTTTGGCTGCAGTGTGATGCATAGGGCTGTGCTAGCTTTGCAAACTCTTTGTGGGTGAAAATTCTCCTGGTTCCCCTCACTGCAACTTTTGGGGGTGTGCAGGAGTGTGAGATGGGTTGAATTTTGGGAAGAAGGGCCAAGTAGCTGGGAGGTGATCTGAGGTGGAGTCTGGGGTGGTATGAGACAAGATCAGGTGTGTAGAGAGTTGTGATGGGTTGTAAGGTGGTATTGGGAGTGGGAAGGGTTGTGAGCTGTGCAAAAATGCTGCAAGGTAGGAACTGGGTTGGATGAAGGGCTGTAAGGAGGTGCTCAGGGGCTAGAGGTAAGGCAGGGATCAGGAGCGTGAGACAATGCAAGGGGCAAGCAGCATGCAAAGGATGCGCAGAGCATCAGCAGGGCTGTTGGGCAAAGCATGATCTGAGGACCAAGAGTTTGCCTGAGCCCAGTGAGCCCCCAAAACCCCCTCCAGACCACTGACCAACCTGAGGACAGAGCCTGGGCTGACCTGGGATTGCAGGGAAAGGGGAGCACAGCCTTGCAAAAACACAAGGTTTGGGGAAATGAGGCGGATGCCTCTTCTTAAGACATGGCTGTGAATAATGTGCTTCTGTTTCAGCCTCTGTGTCATGTCAGAGCTGAGATTGGAGGCATCATGCTGAAACTGGATTGAAAGGAGCTAAGACTTTGCATGTTAGCTTCTCCCTCAGCCTGGAGGGCTCTGGGACCAGTGCTTGTCTCTGTCTGTCACAGTGGCTATGACACCCTTACTTCCACCTCTATCTTTTCCCAGCACCACTAAAACGAGGTACGTGGCTGCTCCTCTGGTGCTTGGTGGTGCCCAGCTTTGTTGCAGGATCATAGAAGGGGGCAACTGGTGGCACCCTCCCAGCCATGCCATCGCCCTGCCCAAATCTCCTGGGCTGAGGACGGAGCTGAGAGGGAGCGATACAGGGTTGGTGTTTGCATTTGCAGCCCCACTGAAGAAGCCCTTGGTGGTCCCACCGAGGCAACCTGCAGAGCACTAGTCCCAGATGGCAACTTCAGACTGAGAAGAGTGGCTTGTTCCCAGCTAGCGTATCCTCGACAGGTTCATCTATCATCTCCCGAGCTCTGCCAGCTTATTAGCAGATGTTGTCCTGTCCCCAGAGGACGGAGAGGGAGGGAAACAAATGGACCGGACTACAGATGGCTGGCAGAGTCCTCCCCACGCTTGCTGCTTCTGAGACAAGCCTGCTGCTCCGGGCCCTCTTGGGCGGGTGATCCATGAGAGAGCGGGACTGGTGGGCTGGGGAAAGCAGGCAAGATGTGCTGTGCAGAGGGGGGATCAGTGGAAGCGCCATGGTATTGATTCCAAGAGGTTGGGGTGATAAATGGGGACCCACCTATGTGGCAGAGGGCTGGAGATGTCCTCTACCAAGCACAGGTTTAGTGTTGGTTTTTGTGGGCTCTTCTGGTGACAATGGGACCAGCCAGGTGTCTGAGCTGAAAGCCCAGTGTAGATGTGTGAGTCCTGAGCTGGGCTGTGGGCGAAGGTCTGCTGCTGTCCCACGTGCGCTGCAAAACCACACCGCGAGATGGAACCGCAAGGACTGGCAGCCTTGGCTGGGTTTAGCAGGGGAATGGCACCGGGGACAGGAGGAGGACACCAGTAGCAGGACTTCTGGTGGTCCGCAAAGAGGCAGGACCTGAGATCCTCAGACACAGAGCAAGGATATCGGTTGCATAAAACAATTTAAAAAAAGAAATTCCCACCTTCTGCAGGGCTCCTGGGAGGGCGCTTCTGGCAAGTGGCAGTGACTGGTTGCAGTGAAGACAGCAGGAAAAAGGTTCTGCACCTACTGGTGGGTGGCTTCAGGTTTTGGTGAATTCAATGTGTGCTACAACCGTGGCTGTGGAGCCCTGTAGATTTCAGATCTGTTGCTTTTGATTGAACTTTTCTCTCTGACCTCTTCTCTGCTGGTTTGCTCTTACCAGAGCCAACCCAGGAGGTCCTGCTCTTCCACCTGTCACTGGCCTGGCATGAGAGACCTCGATCCAGAGCAGGATATGCCTGTTGTCCTGCACTGTGGGGATTTCATATCTCGTGCAGGTTCCAAGCTGGTGCCTTGTCTCCCGTGCCTGTGTCCTGCTTCCATCTAAAGCAAGCACAGGGAGGTGCACGACCCCATCCAGGGCAGTGCCTGCCCCAGCCTCCTCATGTGCTTGTGTGGTCCAGGTGCTGGGAGGTGACTCCCAACAGCTCTGCCTTGGTGCACAAATTCACCCGTAATTTGTCATTTAGGATAATTTTCCCCCTGAGTGCATCTAAAATAATTGCGAATCATTGCTACGGGTAATTAACAAGGTTTTTTTACAACATTAAATGCTAAGTGATTACAATTGCTTGGTGGAAATCTGAACACACATCTTCGTGTTCCCATCTTTCCTGTTGGCCTCTCTCTCCATACCCAATGTAGCACTGATTTCTCTGCCTTTAATTAAATATTGGTGGGAGGAACCACTCCAGTGCCTCTTGAGTCAAGAGTCCCTGGTTTCTGCATGGGTAGAGATGATGATGGTTTGCAGGTCCAAGGTGGATTCACACAAGTTGAAGGCAGCAAATCCGACGTGCATGCTGCCCGGCACAGGCTGTGGGGCTGTCTCGTTGCTCGGTTCCCATTTGGTAAGCTGTGCTTATGCCATGTCTTCATCCTTTCCCACACAGAAAAACTGGGAGCTTTTCTTTCTTAGAGATTTGGGTGGGTTTTTTTCCCCAGCTGGCTACCTCCCATATTTGTCCCCACCTGAGAAGAGGGTGTAACAGCACTCAGATCTCAGTCTTACAACCAAAACCAAGTGGTTGCAGACTGGATGGTGTTGAAGCATCAGGCTGAAGGCAGAGAGTCCCTGGCTTTCTTGGTGTGTGGCATCACGAGGACCAGTCAGCATCAGAGCTTGGCAAATGTCGCAGGCTGTCCTCGGTGTGGCTGGCTGAGGATAGCAAACGTCCTTCCCCTAGCTCTGCCTCCCCTGTTTTCTCTCCTCCTCCGATGCCCTTGAGGAGGTGAAAGGTGTCGGGAGATCTGGGGCTCAAAGCCAGCCCCGAGCTGCTGCAATTTTCTTGCAAGTCACATCTGCCTTCCATTGCATCCACAAGTTTGGGCATTTCTGCTCCTTGCTCCGATGCCCTTTGGGGAGCAGAGGAGCAGAAATGTAGGAACAAACTCTTGAGCTTCTGGTCTCTGTTTTTTTTCAGCCTGCTATCCCAAGCTGCGATAACGACCTGCAATACCAACATCTCTGGCATGTGCAGCATGTGTACATCCTGCTGGTGGTATTGCTCCCCTGTCTTTAAAGCTGCGTTCAGTGCAAAACTGCCACAGAAGCTGGTGACAGTGTCCGTGAAGAGGGACCAGCAAGACACCAGGGATGCGTGTGGCTGGGGGGCTGCCTGCGGCTGCCATTGCTGAAAGCAGCTCAGTTATGAAGAGGTCGTTGTAGTACTGTGCAGTGTGTGATACACAAAATATGTTGGATTGCAATCAATCCAGGGAGATCCATGGCAAGGAAAGGTGTGCTATTAATAAGAAAACAAATCAACACCCAGAAGCAGAACAAACAGCACGGAGGGACCCAGACCATGAGGGAGGCTGGATCGCAAACAAAACCCTTCTACATGCTTGGAGGTGAAAATTGAGGCTGTATGCAGAGCTGGCCGTTGGGGGTAAAGACAGGAAAATGAAGGTATTATTACCTCAGCTGGGAAAACCAGAAATGAGTCAGAGCCAGGATTAATGCTTGAATCACTGAAACTGGTCCTAGAAGTACTTGATGAGTATGGGGACCCAGACAGAGTCTGGTTTTCCTTGTTTGGAATCAAAATCTGCAAGAGAGGACAGATCCTTCCACCCCCGGTCAGATACCTGACATGCCACATGTCACTCTTGAGCTAATCGATTTTCCTAATGAGATACGAGCTGTTTGTTCGTCTGACAAATGATTCACCCGAGGGGCTGCTGGGAGAGATGGGGGTAGGACGGAGCAGACTGATGCCAGTCCTAGCACTGGATGAGCGCGTGCTCCTGTCGCACTGCCCCCAGCACCAGGAGGAGGCAGAGCACCTGAGGGCAGGTCGTGTTGGCAAAAAAAGCTCAGGCTGGCTTATTTGGTCCTTCCACAGGGAGCAGGCAGGGTGTGGGCACTGCTGGTTTGCTGCAACGTGAAACAAGAGAGGGCATTTTCCCTCGTTTTGTGCAAGGAAACTTGTACAGTATAGCAACACTTAGTATAGCAGCACACCAGGGACTTGCAGAGGAAGGTGAACCACCTCCCAGGTGTGGAGCTTTTAATTCCTGAAACCACTCACATGGATGCTCTTGGGCAGCTGGTCACGCCCAGCACGAGTAGTGTGGCAACCACTGTGAAGTGAGGAATGTGCCGTCAATTTGCCCCATAAATGATGGTTCTTAGGACGGTTTACACGGCGATTTGCAGTGCTGCCTGGTTGGATCTTCACAGCGCTCCCTGCCCTGGGGTCAGGCGGTGGCCCAGAGGGGTGGCCGCAGTGGGGAGAGCTCTGGGCAGCAGGCGTGGGTGCAAGGAGAGCACCTCGAGCTTTGCGGGCAGCTCACCAAAAGCAGAGGCACCCGAGTCTGCTGGTGAAGCAGTGGGGAGCGGGTACCAGGATGGCCGTAAGTACCGGCTGAGGGGAGAGACAAAAGAGGATTTCACAGAGCCTGGTTTCCAGCTGGACAGATGGAGGGGCACTCACCCGGGCGCTGGGGAGAAGGGCTGGTTTCTCATGCACTGGGATGGGGGTGAGAGTGGGGTCTGGCTTTGCACTGGTGGGATTTGCCAAACCATGGGGTGCTCCTCATCCAGGTGCATCCCTCTGACCTCTGCCCCTTCCCTCCTCCGCAGCCTGCCAGCTGGGATTTTACAAGTCAGCCCCCGGGGACCAGCTGTGTGCAAAGTGCCCCTTGCACAGCCACTCGGAGAGCCGGGCGGCCCGCGTGTGCCGCTGCGACAGCAGCTTCTACAGGGCGGTGCAGGACCCCCCCTCAGCTGCCTGCACTCGTGAGTACCCCCCGACTGCCCAGGCACCACCTCCTCAGACACAGTAGATGCTCCAGGGCCAAGCCCGTCATGCAGCCTTGTCTCTGTGCATGCTGCCCAAGGCATTGCAGCAGCCTTCCAACCTTGGATCTCCCTTAGCTGCACTCCCTCGCTGCCCTCTGTTTCATTCAGCTGCTTTCCAAACATCCCTGGCTGGACCCTGCTCCCCTCCCAGGGCTCTCGCCTGCAAAGGAGCAGGGTGAGACCATAGCTCTGCCGGCAAGCTCACCTTCTCACGTACCAGCCAGCATCCCAGCCACTCACTGGCTGCTTTCCTTTGCAGAAATGCATGGGATGATCGGACCCCTGGGAGGCCACACGTCAGCACAAGCGAAGCTTGTTGTATGGTTTCCACTCAGCTCTCTGCCATAGGCTCCTTTGAGGAGTCTGGTGCTGTTAAAAAGGGACAAGAGCACCCCAGGAGTCCTCCTCCTCCCTGTAATTGGCCCAGGAGGGCAGAAAGGTGTGGGGCTGCTAGATGAACCCAGGGTGAAAGACAGGTCAGCAACATCTGACTTGTGTTTCCATAGGGGATATCCACCCAAGGTTGTTAATCTCCCCAGGAAATGTGAGTTTACCCTTCCTTTTAGATGAGCGGGTCTTGCTCTCCACCCTCCAGCTCATTGACACCTTGGCTCTTCCCCCCAAAATCTTCATGCATCTCCGTTGCTTCTGGCTTCCCCCAGAACAAACATCAGCTCTTGCCTGCCTGGCAGTTGGTGTCCTCATCCAGAGCACCTTACCTCCATGGTGTTTCACCCTGAGACCTGTCTGCGTCTTTGCTGTCCTCTGTTTGGCATGTTTCCCCTCCGTCTTCCGTCTGTAGCATCCCTTGCACCTGCCGGAACCTGCTGCCCACGCACACCTCCCCCTTGGCCCCGTGCTCTGCCAGTCCCAACGTGCTTCAGCAGCCCCGGCTCTGCCTGAACCTCTGCTTCTTTTCCAGGGCCCCCCTCTGCTCCCGTGAACCTCATCTCCAGTGTAAACGGCACCTCGGTGACCCTGGAGTGGGGGCCGCCCCTGGACAAGGGGGGCCGCGCCGACATCGTGTACAACGTGGTCTGCAGGCGCTGCGCGGGGGACGCTGGCCAGTGCGAGGCGTGCGGCAGTGGCATCCGCTTCGTGCCCCAGCAGATGAGCCTGGTGCAGGGAGCGCTGACGGTGACCAACCTCCTGGCCCACACCAACTACTCCTTTTGGGTGGAGGCTGTCAACGGCGTGTCTGACCTCAGCCTGGAGTCCCGGAGAGCTGCAGTTGCCAACATCACGACAAACCAGGCAGGTAGGAGGAGCAGACACACCCTTCGCTATGCTTTGTGCGTGTGGGTGATGCTGATGTTGCTCTGACGTTGCTCCAGCCAGTATCTGCCAGAGGAAGAACCTGCAGTGGCAGGCTTGGTTTGGTGATGGGCATGGGACCCCCAGGAGATGTGACTCCTGTCCTCTCTGCTGCTGGAGGTGGGTTCAGGGATCCAGGGTGGGCTGGCAACAAGCTGCTCTCTAAGGCAACACTTACCCTTCTCTGGTTCATGGTATCCTTTTTTGTCCTCATTTCCCTCCACTTCAGCCTGCAGCCGTTGGTGGAAGCTCCTTTTCTGCAGGAGACAGAGGGCACAGAGAACACTTGTTTGTTGACAGGAACACTAAGTGGAGCATGAATCTTTCAGGCTGTTCCTCCAGCCTTCTGTCCCTTCCCAAAGGGCCAAGCAGCAGTTCATGCTCTGCTCTTAGCTCACACCAATGCCAGCCCCTGGCAGGTGACAGCAACGTTTGCTGGGACAAGACTCTCTCATGCACGTCTCATCTTTGCGAACCCCTTGCTGTGAAATGCTCTTTCCCCAGGAAACACTTCCGAGCAACGCTCTAGCCCAGGTGAGCCCGGACCTTGCTGCAGGGTCACCTGGGCATCTCCCCAGAGCAGAGCCCAGCTAAGCCCCTTTCCATGGAGCACGCTGTAGGCAGAGGGGACAAGGCAGGGACTGACCCTTCTTGTTAATCCTCCCAGTTGGAAACGAGCCCGCAGGAACTTCCCATGATGCTGAGCCCCTTCTGCTCTCATGGTTGTGGTGCCAGCAGGAGAAACCTGGGAAGCCTTTCTGGGTTAGCTCATGGCTGGCACAAGAACAAGGCCCTCTTGTTACTAGTGCCTGCCCGTAGCACTTCCCCACCCCTCCGCAGAGCCCACATGGGAATGGCTCAGTCCTGCCAGCTCACTCCCGCACGATCCCTCCAAGTGCTGATGAGTAGCGCCAGCGTGATGCCTCATAGTGGGATGCTCTTGGGAAGGGATGAATATTCCCATTTCAACCTGTCTGCTGCAAAGTGGATACTGAGCAGGTGCTGCGAAACCAGCAGGGTTGGGAATTTGGTAGTGACTGAAGTTTAGCTGCTGTGCCTGCACGGTGCTCCAGCTGCTGCACACCACAGAGCACCCGGGCCCACCAGGAGGGGCTGAGGGACCCCTGCTGCACTGTGTCGGGTGGCTTGCCCGTGCTGGGTGCTGGTCACTCTTGTCCACCCGGTGCTGTGGGGGGGCTGAGCAGGGCAGGAGCAGGTGCAGCAGACATGTCCTGGGGCTGTTTGCAAAGATGGCGTTGCACGTGCCTGTGGGGTTTAGCTGATTGCCACCATCCCACCCTGTCCCAGCTCCCTGAGGTCCTGTGTCCTAACGGTGATTTCTGCTTCTCAGAAGAGCCAGCTCGAAGATGAACTGGGCTATAAGTGCTGCCTTTCAGTCCCTGGATGCCCCACTGCTGATGCAGCCTCTGTGGCCTCTTTTGGTCTCTGTGCTCCTCCAGCGACACCCCTGAGCTGAGCCATGGCAGACAGCCGCTCCATCTTCCCCAGAACCACCACATCCCATTTTTCATTTGGCAGTTAGGGTCATAAGGGGTGCCTGACCCCTTCCCATGAGTAGGGTCCAGTGGCTGTGCCTGGCCATCGCAGCACCCTACCACGCTCTCTGGGGTCCTTCCAGGGGATTTTTCCCAGAGGGAAAAGAGGCCGGTGAGTTGGCTCCTCTGGCTGTGGCAGCTCCAGTTCAGACACAGCAGGTACAAGGACCAATTTGCAGGCTCTCAACACAGACCCAGGCAGGTGACCAGAATCTCAGAGCAGGAGAACATCCCCAGGGCACCTTTAGACTGATGCTCAGCCCCTGATCACCCCTCTGGGCATTTATCATCTCCCCTTTCCCTCTTCCCCTGCCCCTCTCCCCCTTCCCCATGAGGGGCAGGAGAGGTCAGGGTCCTGCTAAGGGTCTCCACGACCTCCAGCCCCACAGTCACTTCTCCTTTCTGGCTCCAGATCACAGCGAAGCACCAGTGTCCCCTCCTGCCTGTGCTGGGACAGTGCCCTCCTCTTTGATCTCCTCAGAGCCTGCTCACTCCATGGGAAAGAGATTGAGGCAACTGAAGCGAACGAAAGCCTGTTAGCAAGCCCCTTCACAGCACTCATCTCCACATGGCTTTAATTAAAACTGAATCATGGTTTAAACCAGAGGTCCTGCATGGGGCTCCAGTTCCACCCTTCCCTGCTGCTGTGTCCTGCTGCCCTCACCCACGCAGGACCCCCACCAGCAGGCACCTAACACCCTGCCGTCTGCATCCCCAGCCCCGTCCCAGGTGGTGGTGGTACGCCAGGAGAGCACAGGCCAGAACAGCGTCACCTTGCTGTGGCAAGAGCCAGACCAGCCCAACGGCATCATCCTGGAGTACGAGATCAAGTACTACGAGAAGGTAACGCTGAGCTTGCTGCTGCAAACCAGTCCCAGCACGGTGGGTTTATACAGGGGCATGACTCAGTTTAAATTCTGCTGGTGCAATGGCTGCTATCAGCCAGCCTTGCACAAAGGACCATTTTGGAAGTGGAGGCTGTGCTGATGCAGCAGAGTTTTTGGTGTTGGTTTTCCCCAGGACAAGGAAATGCAGAGCTATTCGACTCTGAAATCCAAGGGCACCACTGCCACCATCTCTGGGCTCAAGCCTGCAACCCGCTACATTTTCCAGGTTCGGGCTCGCACTTCTGCTGGCTGTGGGAGGTTCAGTCAGACCGTGGAGGTGGAAACGGGGAAGCCAGGTGAGTATGTGCCGTTGTGGGATGTGGGAAGTGTGGGGGAGGGAGCGTGAGGGATGGCAATGCCCTTGTCTGTGGCCGTTGCTCCTCTGCCATGTGGGGAGGAAGGCTGGAGGCACAAGTCATGGGGTTGCAGCCTGCAGGGGTTGCTTGAGGTAGCCCTCCTGAGATTTGCTTACACTTTAGAAAAAATAGGGAGGAATGAAACAGCAGTTAGGGCAGGGAAGACCTCGTGAGGGCCTGAGGCTCCAGACTCCTCTCTGCGCTGTTTGCTGTATCACTATGGCATTCCCAGATCTATGCTCGGTTTCCCCATGTGTAAATGGTCCCTGTACACTGGGAGATCCCCAAAGCTGGGGCTGGATGGGAAATGGTGCTTTATCTTTGAAGAACATGACCCCAGTGGGGCAGGCGAGTTTCTGAGCACAACAGAGCGCTCCTCACTCCAGCTCACCTCCTTCTTACTCTGCTTCCTCCAGTCTCTCTCCGGTACGACACGATGACGATTGTCTGGATCTGCCTGACACTCATCACTGGCCTTGTCGCGTTGCTGGTGGTCCTAATCTGCAAGAAGAGGTAAGAGTTTCACGGAGATCAGTGTGGCTTGTCACCAAGCAGGGCAGGGAGCATGGGAGAACTTGGGCGCAACTTTTCTCCTCTCAGTTTTGTCCAGAGCAGCTAAAGGTGAGGAATTAATGAGCAACCAAGAGACTTCATTTGGAAGTAACCCTGCTTCCAAATTCCTCAACTCAGAGCCAGTATCCAGACCCTCCCCTCATGCTAGCAAGCCAAGTAGCAATAGCGACAGAGATAGCCATAGTGATAGCTGTGCCAATACCGGTACCAATACCACTACCCGTACGAGGGCTGACGGGATGGGCTGGGGAGTAGGTCAGGAGTGGAAAGAGCTCTTGTCCATCAGAAAGGTCCAAGAGGGACTATGTGCTGCTGTATCTCATCATGGCCAAGCCAGGCATGTGGAACACACATGCCACTGCCCACAGGAGACGAAAGGGCTGCAGCTTTTAGCACTGCCAAGCCTTGGAGAGTACCTGGAAAGTACCTTGCTCCAGGCCAAAGAGTCAGTCCAGCAAGATGCAGGGATGCAGCTGGTGGAGGGCCAAGTGTCAGCTCCAGCTTCTCCTGGGCTGCCTGCAGCCCTGGCAGACACTGCCTTCCGCTCCGGCTTTTGGCTGCCTGTGGGCATGAGGGACAGGAGCCCTTCTTCTGACCCTTGTGTCCTCATGTCAGGCACTGCGGGTACAGCAAGGCTTTCCAGGACTCTGATGAAGAGAAGATGCATTATCAGAACGGGCAAGGTAGGACCCTCCCTGCTTCTGCCCCTGGGGTGTGAAGGACCTCAGCCCTGTTGATGGGCAGGGACTTGGACCATTAACCCTTGGCACTGCTGTGGTTGCCAATGGGAAGGGTTTTGACCACTAACTGCTTCTGGGGATGTGTCTAGGAGAGCTGAGCAGCAGCTCTGATCCCAGGGGAATCTTGGTAATGGGGTTGAAGAGCTGCACAGTGTGAGATGGGACTGCAGCACATTCATCCTAGACAGCAGCAGGCCAGAAGAGTGGAAAATTCGTCATAGGTGGGGAGTAGGGGTGAGGGGGTGATGGACGGGGACAATCCCATGGAGGATACCCAGACAGCCAGTTCCTAGACTGCTCTGAGGTCACTGCTGTGCCGAAGAGTGCCTTGGGTTTCCTTGGGGTTGCAACCTCTGTGGTTCCTCAGCATGTCAACCCAAGAAGTCTTATCCCTGCCCATCCTCTGCCCGGCTGCTGGGTGCCTCTACTTCTTGGCAGAGCTGCCTGAAAGAGCTTATTTTCTCTCTCCCCTTTGAAACCTGGCAGTGAAGTTCCCTGAGTCCAAGTTCTATGTGGACCCCCACACGTATGAGGACCCCTGCCAAGCCGTGCATGAGTTCACCCGTGAAATCGAGGCCTCCCGCATCAAGATCGAGAAGGTCATTGGATCCGGTGAGTCCTCGGGCATGAAATAAACTCTTGGGAGGCAGCCTGGTGTGGAGGGTTGCTGCTCAGCCAGCGTGGCACCAACGGCTCGGGCTGACACAGCAGATGGCTCAGCCTGTCCCACGTGGGTGCTCCAACGTGGTCACCCTGCTTTCAAACCTCAAAGTAAGCAGAACGGTAAATTTTCAGAACAAAAGGGATTTTTGCATAGGAGCAGGGGCTTGCAGGCAAGCACAGGGCATAGACCGAGCTGAAATTTCACCAGTAGCATTCCAAGGGCTTTCCCCAGAACAGCATTAGGAAGCCTGGCCAAGAGACATCCCTGCTGCCCTAAGAGACTTCAAAATCTGTTGATTAAAAGCGGTAAAGCAAGTGTCACTGTAATCATTACTCTTGGCTCATCACTTTCAGTACAATGCATCAGACAGAGGTGGTTTCTGATATTTCTGCCCAGTTCCCAGAGTTGGCAAGGGAGCCGAAGATGGGCAATCCTTTCTGTACTCGGAGGCAGCGATGCACAGAGCCCAGGAGTCCTGAGGGGCTGGAGCACGCTGCAAGTGTGCTGGTGGACTGGGTGATCCACGGTGCTGCTGGGCTGGTGCAAGAAGTGGAGGAGCTTCCCATGCCCTCACCTTTCTTTGCCTTGCAGGGGAGTCTGGAGAGGTGTGCTACGGCCGCCTGAAGCTGCCAGGGAAGAGGGAGATTCCTGTGGCCATCAAGGCACTGAAAGCAGGCTACACGGAGAAGCAGAGACGGGACTTCCTGAGTGAAGCCAGCATCATGGCACAGTTCGACCACCCCAATGTCATCCATCTGGAGGGAGTGGTGACCAGGAGTATGTGGCAGGCGGGGATGGGATCCACTGGTGGGGCAGAGCTGGGATCAGCGGACGATAAGGGAGATGGGGTCAGGGATCACTTTGGATGCGCTCCATCCTTTGCCTGCCCTGGTTGCTCAACTGTCAGATGTTCATTTCCTGGAGTCCCCTCCATCCCACCCCTTTGCCCACATGGATAAACTTTCCATGTGCCAGTTCCCCATCTTGCTCTGCAGTGCGCCCCAGGTCGGGGTTATTGAATTGGGAGATGTCCTTCCCATTAGCGTTTATTTTAAAGGCTGCCTGTATTGAATCATAATTTGAAGTCTTCCTTCAAAGAGGCACATTCCGATGCAAAGCATTATGCTAATAGCATGCAAATTTCAGCTGGATAGCAAAGCTGACCTAGTCACATCCATAGCACCTGGAGGGAGAGGTAAGTGTTGGGGTTATTGCCACATCCCCACTGTGCCTGTCCTGCACAGTGCAGGGGTGAGACTACTTTGCAGGGCTGCAGGAGATCCATGGGCCTGGATTCGTGTGTCTCCCAGTAAAAGCCTGGCACTGGGCTTCCCAGAGAAAGGTGACTTCTCTACTAACTTGACCTCCCTTGTCTTCTGCAGGCAAATTGGTAATGATTGTTACTGAATACATGGAGAACGGCTCGCTAGACACCTTCCTCAGGGTAAGGAGCTCTCATGTATTTTTATTCATTGCACATTCCCCTGGGCCGAGCCACTGCAGAAGAGGCTGGTTTCTGCTCCTCATCCTCCCAGCCACTGCGACCCCTATGCACGAGCGGTGTGCTCTGGGTCTCGCCTCTCCAGTAGACACCAGCTCTAGGGCATCACGGCTGGCTCTGCAGAATGGCACTGCAAAGCGGGGGCACCTTCCTGAGCGGCGTGTCAGAGGCGCTGGGAGGGCAGGAGGTGGGCTGGGGGGAAGAGAGAGAAGCACTGGGGTCAGAGGAGATACTAAGCCAAAGATGAGAGGTACTACGGGGGCTTTTTAACAGAACGGCATCAGTAGGCTGCTGGTGAAAATACTGAATGAACTCTCAGTTGTTTCCTTTCCAGAAACATGATGGGCAGTTCACCATCATTCAGCTGGTGGGCATGTTGCGTGGCATTGGAGCGGGCATGAGGTACCTGTCTGACCTGGGCTATGTGCATCGGGACCTGGCTGCCCGCAACATCCTGGTGAACAGCAACCTGGTCTGCAAAGTGTCTGACTTCGGCCTCTCCCGCATCCTGGAGGATGACCCCGATGCTGCCTACACCACCACGGTGCGTGGCTCCCAGTGTTGCATTCTTGCTGATCCTTACTGATGGTGATTGCCCCAGGCCACTGAGAGATGGAGAAGTTAGACATTCTCAAGTCAAGCTAGGCTAGGCAGGAATGGAGATAGTCACCCCAACACTGATATCTGGACCAAGAGCATGAACCCAAATAGCTTCTGAGCCTTAATGCATTTTCCTGCATACAGGGGCATCCCAGAACTGAAGTGTGCAGCGAACAAAGAGGAGTGAGGTAGGAGAACAGGGAGCTGATTAAACCTGCCCAGCCAACAGCTCCTGTGGGCATACACAGCCATTGCACATGGATGCTCCCTGTTGGAGTCCCTCCCTAAACTGTGTAAACCATCCACTCCTTCAGTTGTCCTAAAGCCATCGGTCAGTAGGTGGGTGTTATGGTATAATACTGAACTGAGGATTTTTTTTTGTTCAGAAACTTGTGATAAGGTAGTGTCCTGTGTTTCTGGACCTGCTCAGGAGATGCCTTCCCCAAAGGAACTCACCCAAATGACACATCTTTCATCTTCGGTCCTCATCAAGGCATGCCCCAGAGCAGGCAGGACTCAGTTGGGTGGAGGCAACTCTCCCTAGACATGGATACCTGAAAGGTGTTCCCAGGTACATCACGCCTGACCCAGCTGCTCTGGGAAACCCACCTGATGTTCCCTACAACTTTCCTCTTCAGGTGGCTGGCAACCACATTTCCAGCTTAAATGTATTCTTAGCTCATTTATTGCTGATTTTTGTCGGCATGGCCCTTTAATCCAACAAGTCCTCCTCTTCAGTGCTTGCCTGCCAAAGCAGTAATGGACAGGGAACACATGTCATCACTCTCCTTGTCCACCACACTAAACAAGTCAGGCTCTCTGCTTGCGCCCAGGGTTGTCTCCATGCTCTGTGCTCTGCTAGACCTCGACTCCACCACATCACTTTGAGTTCCGCTCTCTTGAGCGCTGAGGGCCAGAACTGTGCATGAAGGAGACCTTGTAAAACAGCACAACCTTCTCCATGCTCTACTGGAAATACCTTGACGTCATCCTTCAAGTACACCTTCAGGGTTATCTTGTGCAAATTGCCTCCTCAGTCCTTTCCAAAAGATGCCATTCCAGTGCATCGCTTCTCTAATCCGCTGTCCCAGATGCAGAGAGGTAGGGGTGCCCGAGCCCTGCGTGCTCTGAGCCCCCACTGTTGCTCGCTTTCGCAGGGCGGGAAGATCCCCATTCGCTGGACAGCTCCGGAGGCCATCGCGTACCGCAAGTTCTCCTCGGCCAGCGATGTGTGGAGCTACGGCATCGTCATGTGGGAGGTCCTGGCCTATGGCGAGCGCCCGTACTGGAACATGACCAACCGGGACGTGAGTGGACACAGGGCAGCACGGGTGCAAGCCTGCCTCTCCTCCTGCCCTCACCCAAGCCAGCCTAGCAGCGAGGCTGGGGAGGAGGGACCCAAGGAGCAACCCTTGCCTCTCCTCACGTCCCACAGGGCTGCGCAGAGTGCTTGTCCCCTCCGTGGGGGACACCCCCCCCAACTGGGGACATGTTACCCATCATTGCACCGCCCAGCCCTTACCTTTGCAGCAACGTGGCTGTGCCCAGTCTCCCCATCCCTGTCTGCTGCTCTGTACAAGCCTTTCTGCTGGCTGGAGAGCTTCAGCATGTGTTGTGCCACCTTTCCCTTTCCCTGGAAGGGGTCAGGGCTTCCCTAGGATCACCGCAGCCCCACTGCATCATCCTGCCAGTGCCTCCTGCACCCGGTGCTGGGGTCCGTCCCTTCCAGTGTCCACGTGAGGCTGCTGAGAGCCCCAGGCTCACACCACCCAGAAGTAGGCTTTGGGCTTGTCAGAGTTAGGGGGAGCCACTCTTACACCAAGAGTAGCATAAAAACTGTAGGAGAATGTAAGTTGTGCTCCTGATTACAGCCTGGAAGAAAAATTTCCAAAAGGAGGCAATAAAATTAACATTTTGACTCTGCAGAACCACAGTACTCCGTTTTTTTTACCTACGGGGACTATAAGCCTATCTGCCTTCTCCTTGCTCTGGAGTCCTGACAGTCTCCTCTCTCCCTAGTGTTTTTATTATTTTAGAAAGTGGCTTTGGTGACAACAGGGCATGGATGCAGTGGCTTACACCACCCCCTCCACACAGTTCCTTTGAGTAGGCTTTCCTCCAGCCTTGCTGAGCGGTGGCAAGCCCTGGTTGTAGAGTAACCGAAGGTCAGTGCAGCTCTCGTGGCTTGTCTGCTGGAGGGAAGCTGCAATATTTTAGACCTGTTGGACCACTTAATAAATCCACTGTTGTAGCAGTGATTTCTTGTATGTGTGTGTATCCAGCCTGCTTCCAGCTCCCCACAGAGCATCCTGGGGTGTATTAGAAGGGGTGTGGTTAGTAGGTCGAGAGAGGTTCTCCTCCCCCTCTACTCTGCCCTGGTGAGGCCACATCTGGAATATTGTGTCCAGTTCTGGGCCCCTCAGTCCAAGAAGGACAAGGAACTGCTTGAGAGAGTCCAGTGCAGGGCCACGATGATGATGAAGGGAGCATCTCCCGTATGAGGAAAGGCTGAGGGAGCTGGGTCTCTTTAGCTTGGAGAAGAGCAGACTGAGGGGGGACCTCATGAATGTTTATAAATATGAAAAGGGTGACTGTCATGAGGATGGAGCCAGGCTCTTCTCAGTGGCATCCAATGACAGGACAAGGGGAAATGGATATAAGCTGAACATAGGAGGTTCCGCTTAAACGTGAGGAAGAACTTCTTCCCAGTAAGGGTACCAGAACACTGGAACAGGCTGCCCAGAGAGGTTGTGGAGTCTCCTTCTCTGGAGATGTTCCAAACCCTCCTGGCGGCGTTCTTGTGTGATCTGATCTAGGTGGTCCTGCTCCGGCAGGGAGATTGGACTAGATGATCCTTTGAGGTCCCTTCCAATCCCTGACATTCTGTGATTCTGTGGTACACAGCTTGCTGGCAATGCACTTGTCATTTAGCATGAATCCTGTGTACATCTGCCCCGCTTCCCCATCTGATGGCCCCAGCAGCTCGTGCACCAGGGATCTTCCCCGTGTGTTGCCGTCTGGGGTGCTCGGAGTTGGGTAGGAGTGGAGCTCCACTTCGGCATGTGGCTTCCTTCCAGGTCATTAACTCCGTGGAGGAAGGCTACCGCCTGCCTGCCCCCATGGGCTGCCCCACAGCCCTGCACCAGCTCATGCTAGACTGCTGGCAGAAGGACCGCAGCGAGAGACCACGCTTCTCCCAGATCGTCGGCATCCTGGACAAGCTCATCCGCAACCCTGACAACTTGAAGTGCACAGCCACTGTCAACCGGTAAGGGCTCCCTGAGCCGCCACCATGGGCAGGGTGATGCTGGGCAGAACATTCGGGTTGCAGCAAATAAGGGATATTTCCATCCAGCTCTAGCAGCTGTGGGTTCCCTGCAGCTATGGACCTGCACGGGGCCCGTGGGTACAGGTTGTGCTGGGTGGTGGGCAGCATCCTGTGTTTCACTGCCTCGCTCCCACCGTGGCATCCCCACGCCAGGGTCTGGCCAAGCACCAGCAGCAGTGCCCATGTAGTGGCGTGCCTGCCTCTGCCAGCTTGCGAGGGCTTTCTGTTCTTCCCTCCCCTGCAGCATGACAGGCTCTTTGAGACAGACCTGGGACCAACACCTCCTGGGCTAACCTCTTCCCTCCTGCTCCCAGGTTCACCCAAACACCCTTCGACAGAGGTCTGCTCGACCTGGCCAGCTGTCTGACAGTGGAGGACTGGCTGGACTCCATCCGACTGGGGCACTACCGGGACAACTTTGCCATGGCAGGGTACTCCTCTCTGGGCATGGTGATGCGCATGAACATCGAGTGAGTACCAGAGAACAAACAGCACCGGTGGGGTTGCCCTGCACTGTCCCACTAGCCCCAGATAGCGGCCATCCTGCCTTGGCTTGCTAGATCTAGTTGGCCCTTGATGCCAGAGACACATCCCTAGGGAAATGGTGTTGAGACCTGGGACAATGTCCCAGGCTGTGCTGACCTTTGAGAAAAGATGTGGGAGATGTACTGAGAGAGTTTGAGTACCAAGTCACCTCTGGTGCTCTGTGGTGGCTCTCCAATGCCACCATAGGTTCATAGGTAACTTGAGTTGTAAGGTGCTTCAGGAGGTCATGTAATCCAACCTCTAGATCAAAGCAGGGTCAGATATGAAGTTGCTGTCTCCTTGCACGTCTCACCTTTGTTTCCCCCACAAAAAGCATGTCTGGACCAAAGTGTGGCTGCTCCATACTGCTTAGCTTCTCTGAGATCATTGGGTAACAAACCAGGCTGGGGGGCACCTCAGAGCTTCTTTAGACCCCAGTGCACTTGACTGGCTCCCTGTTCAGTGCAGCTAGGCAGGGAGGGACCATCAAGGGCGATGGCGTGAGGGGAATGTCATAGCCAAGTGACCAAGGCTGGGTTAAGTAAGGAGAGCTGGGGAAGCTGTGGCCCACCACCCATCCTCCTCCTTCTGCTGTAGGGAGCTTGCTCTGCCTCCTGTCTAGGAGATCTCTGAGGTGGCTGATGCTCCAAGTGATACCAGAAAAGATGGCAACTGTACCTGCTCCTACCCTGGCCTTACATTCCCCATCCCTTAGTGTTAGCATTAGTGCCAGGGCTGGCAACAACCTCTCCTTCCTCTGAGGAGGCTTGTTCCCTGTCAAAAGACATGGAGCTGCCAGATGGTAGTTCCCGTGACTCGGGAAGGATGTGACAGTGCACGCTTGGTCGAGGTGCAGCGGGTAGAGCAGGAGGCAGTGAAAGGGAAGATGGAGAGACCAGCAGGCAGAGGGCTGTCATGTGCATTGATCGGGGCTGTACCTGGGGCCTTTGCTGTGGGATTGAGCTGATACTGATCCTTGTTTCTCATGCACATCAGGAAAGCTTCTGAGTGGGGAAGGCTCATCATCCATCCGTCTTTCTGACTGGGTTATCTGAGGGCATCTCGCTAAAAGCGAATCCAATTTCAGAGCATCGATCTTGTCACCTACCAGCCTGTCAGGAGCGATCCCCCTCCTGCCCCCCCAGGGCTGTCACAGCAGCCCTGTCAGGAGGATGTGCCCAATGGAATGGCAGCCTCTCCATCCCTCAGCACATCCACAGCCTTGTGCTGATGGGCAAGTGGAGAGGAGCCCGGTGTGGGATCCTGGGGTGGTCCATGCAGTGCACACATAGGGAGGAGTAACATCTCTCTGGGGCCTGGCACAGATGCAGCCCATGGTGTGTCTGACAGTGTCCTTGTTCTCCAGGGACGTTCGGAGTTTGGGCATTACCATGATGGGCCACCAGAAGAAGATCTTGAGCAGCATCCAGGCCATGAGGTCCCAGCTGCTGAACACAAATGGCCCCAGGAGGCATCTCTGATCACCGGCTTTGCAGACCCGCATCGGGCATTCCTTAACACTTACCCTGGAAAAGGGGCAGCAGGGTGGTGAGCAGGAAATGGGGCACCAGACCAGGATCTGGAGCCCGGCCAGCATCTCTTTGATTTCAGTGTCAGTGGAAACGTGGCTTTCTAGATACCTCGATGGTCCTGCTGCCTCCTTCCCCCACCTGAAGGGGGGAGCAGCCTTCCAAGCGGGCCAGGGACACCTCGTGCCCCTCTCCATCTCCTACTGTGTCCCTGTGGGACTGGGGGTCCCCACACAACTATGCAGGTCGGGTGGCAACCCCTTCACACAGCAGGGTGGCCCCAGCTGCCCCTGCAGATGAAAGCGTATCAGATGCAACAGCAATACTGGGAGCAGTATGGGCTCGACATGGCACACGGCTTCTTTGGATGTGACAACTGAGGAGTCTGTTGGATCTCTGAACTGAAGAGGGCTCTGCAGGCTGCCACACAGCAGAGACAACGCTGCTCCCAATACCTCTCAGTGCCAGTGTGCTCCAGCCTGGACCTCCTGAACTGCAACAGCCTGCAGGTGACTTCATGGTCCACCTCTACTAAGCCCAGGAGGGCAGTGGACAGATTACAAGCTGACAGTGCCAGGAACCTCTGGCTCTGCGTGCAGAGGAGACTTCCCCAGCAGCATGGAGAAGAGGTGGCCACAGTCTGCTATCTGGAGCTTCAAGAAGTTCCAGGGTGCTGCAGGAGGCTTTCCACCTCTTTAACCCAGCAGCACTGCTCCTCTCTGGATCCAGCACAGGCAGCCCAGGGCAGCCCAGACACCTTTTCTAGGGCCACAAGCTCAGGTTTCTTCCCAGCAGAACAACCATCCTGGCCTCCTGCAAAGCTGTACCAGAGCAGAGAGGAGGGGTGGAGGAGTTTGCTCCCATCTTACATGGTGGAGGGACAGAGACACTTCTGCCAAACTCTACTTTGTTCTTATATTGCTCTAGAGAAACCCAAGAGCTGATACCACACAACCTGCCTATGCTGCCGTGTCATCTGCAGAGGAAGGCTCCTCAGCAACATCTCCAGCTGTGATCACGCAGTCCTACGGTTGGGTTTGCTCTGGGCAAAGAGGATCTTCAGCACAACCCAGCTGGTGAGCCCAGTGACTGAGAGGTTGGCCTTTCCTCTGCAGCTCTCCTCTCTCCTCCACAGGAGCATCTCCTTGGTGAGCTTGCCTGGTGTGGAGCGGCGGCCTCCAAAGACTCATGGAGCTGGTCCAAGAGGCCAAGCTGGCTGCAGAGACGCAGATGTGCCAGCACGGGGTGGGGGCAGGCTGTGGACTGGCAAGGTTTCTCGTGGGTGTAAATACAATTTTCTATGGGTTTGGGAACTGTTTTACTGAAATATGAAGTTAAGTACACAAAAATGGTCTCAAAGCACAGAAGCCTCAGTCGTGGGGCTGAACTCACTGCAAAAAAAAAATCTGCTGGGAGCATGGCTGGGGAGGGGGGCTGCTGGAGAAGGTGAAATGGTGGAGGGGAGCCACGCTGACTGCCAGGGACCAGCCTGGCCCACAGAATCCTGTCCTTAGCACTGGCACAGTAAATCCAGCATCACTCAAATGCGGGTACTGGTAGGATCTGGCCTGAGGTCTGTTCCTGCCAGTGCTGTTTGGGCACTAGGCGGGTGGGGGGAGGGTTAAAGCCATTTCTCAGCTGCAATAATCCTGGCTAAACTGGCCTTTCTGAGGATGGCTTAGCTTTGCATCCAGGGCACTTATGTCCTGATGGATTCTCTGACTGTGGCGGGCACTTTACTTCTTCCTATGGAAGCTCTTGTAATGAGGGACAGATGCAATGTGTTGTTGGATTTGTATTGCACCCTGTGTCCTGCACTAAGACCCGTCACACACACACCCTGCAGTTAGCGTCACGATGGAGGTCGGTCCGAGCCCTGCAGCACAGGATGCTGGGTGCTGGCCATGTCCTCTCTTCCCAACTTTTGGGACTCCCCGGAGGGTGAGTCCATCCTGGACCAACTGGGGAGAGCAGAGATCAGGCCAGTGCCACAGACCTGTGTCCTTGGGGTTTGCTGGGCAACCCTGGTAATGTGGGCTGCTGGATCTGGGGTTGGGAGCTACCAGATGGCCCCTTTCCAGGTGGTTCATGGGTCAGATCCTGCAGCATGGGGTCGTTGGGCTGCTCCTGGCTGTGGGGATGGCAGAGCAGGGTTTGCCTTTTATGTTCAGACCGTGCACTTCCTCCTGGACAATAAAACTCCTTCTTCCATCTCCTTGCCTGTTATTGTCCCTGTGCTGCAGAGAGCTGCTTCACTGCTTGCAGAGAGCATGGGGGCCTCCATGGCTGCTTCACAGGCACAGGGGGGCCAGCAATGGGATGCCCAGCTAGCCACCACCTTCCTCCGCTCAAGAAAGCCTCCCACACTTGAAGGATGCTTCCTTGGGGAGCAAGACTGTCTGTGGGCTGTGGGCTTGGCCCACGAGAGCAGAGAATGGCCAAGAGGTTGATTGTTCATAGGGCCCCTGCAGGGGGTCCCTGTGCTGCGGGCAGGGAGAAGCCTCCCCAAAACCACCAAGTCATTGTCACATAAGGCACGAGAACACGAAAGCATGACAGATCTTGTGTGCAGAGGTTGCTCTGAACCTTGGGAATCTCTTGCAGGTTTTCCCAGACCCAGGCTTATTCTCTCGGAAACTAGGGAATTGTTAAAAAATTAAAAAAAAAAAAAACCACAGTAAAACCTCAGCCCTCATCCTCTGACATCTGAGCTGAAGTATCTCGTAGGTGGGCTTGCAAAGCCCATCTTGTAGGCATTTAGCTGTAGTTCCAGCTGTCCTCCAGTGAAGGATTTGCTAGCAGCAGTTGCAAGGACAAAGACAACACGAGCATTTGTAGGAAAGAAGCATATTTTTCTTGCCATATAAAACCAAAAGGACACCACAGTGCTGAGTGGGATTGGTTCTATCCATGGCACTGCCTGCTCGCACGTCCCCTGCCTTTGGAGCCCTTCAGGGATGGAGGAGATGGTCTTCGAGCAGTGCAGCCCTGCTCCGCATCCCCATTGTGGGGAAAGGCCAGCCTGGCTCCCTCACCCTGCTGTGCAGCCCTGTCCTTCCAGGCCCCCCAGCCTTCCTTCCACCATCTGTCTACATGCCATCAGGTTATCCTGGAAGCCCCATCCAATGCTCCCCCTCTCATCCTTGTCCCCAGTGCCCTCTTTCCCAAAGCACTGACCTCCAGACTGGTCAAGCTGCTTCTGGGCAGTCTCGCCAGTGCTGACGGTTGAGCTCACAAGCCCTGCATTCTGCATTCCCTGTTATGTACCCCATTTTGGTATTGGCATTTCCCATCACTACCACCCACATCACGACTGCAGGACGCTTGTTGCTGTCCCATCCCAGACTCACTGCCTTTCCCCACCACCTCCCAAACATATCTTTCAGCGTCATGTTCCACCTTTCTAGTTTTCTGGAGTTTCTATCTGCCAGACGCTCCAAGAAATACGGTTGGAAGGGACCTCCAAAGGTCACCTCATCCTGCTCCTTCCGCGTGCATGTGCAGTGCACGCAGCTGTGCAGGTTCTGCTCAGACTCGGCTCATCGCACAGACAGGGACAGCAACCATGTCACACCTCACTCACAGTACCCTGCCGGCACTGGGCACAGTGGGACAGCCTGGGAATGCTGGGACACGTCAACGTTCACCAAGGACCCACATTTCACTAATTTATTTCAGTTATGAACAAAGCCAGCATCCTCATTGTGCAAAATGTATGTTTTCTTACATTTCTCAGTCCCAAAGCAAACACTTGACCATGGAAGGCTGAATGATGTTGGTGTCTGGCTCCTTCCCTCAGGTACGGGCAGGGGCAGGAGCACTCAGGTGGGCTGCTGTGCATTGCTCTGCTTGGGTAGGGGTCCAGGTGCGACCACAGCATCACTTTGTGAAAGACTGTGAGGGCCATGCCCAGGGCATCACCCCTGCTCAAAACCCCCAGGAACACGAGGCAGGGTTGTGTCATTTTCAACATGCCATTTCTTCCTCTTCTGGAAGATATTGCCATGAAAGTGCAGTCCTGGCAAGGGTCAGTCACTGGGAGGCCCTCTCCAGGACACGGAGCTGCATTCCCAGACCTCATGTGCCACTTTGTGTTCCCAAAGCTGAACCCCACTGTAGGCAGGGGCTGTCCGGTCCAGCCAGGCTGGCGACAGGGCTGGCACTGGACAGGGCTGGCACTCAGGGATCCCAACAGATGAGAGAGGAATCAGCTTGATACCAAACCGCTTGTGGATAGGACTTAAAGGACATGTCCAGGGAAGGAGCTGGTTAAGAGGCAAAGTGCCATCCGAGAAGAGGCGATGGAAACTCTGGCTTACATATGACAGCAAATAAATCCCTTCATGTATCAAAATAGCCCTCAGGATTTTCACATCTTCTTAAATGTCCCCCAAGAGAGTTTTATGCCAGCTCGCTCAGTTGGGAGCTGGTCT